AAAATAAATACACTTTAAAAAAAAAAAACATGGCTTGTCAAGAGTTAAAATATAGCAGATTTTAAAAATTAAAAACAAACAAAACAACAAGAAGTATGAGGCCAAGGAAAAGGAGCTAAATCAGAGAAAACCTGCAAATGAAAGGAACAGGTTGGGTATGGGTAGGGAAGGTTGTGGCTGCCTGTGGGTATGTTCCTGTTTTAGACTTTGATTTTTAGATGCTGTCACCTAAATCTCTTTTTAGCATCATTTTTGACTGAGTTCACTAAAAGACATTTTAAAATGTGAAATGTTAAATGTGGTATTTAAGTATACAAGTCTCTGGGAAAATAGAATTGTCCCATAATGTTTTGTTTTGTGTCAGATTTGCCAAACACATTTATTCTATAAAAGTGAAAATACATGTTTTATAACCATATAAGTGTGCCTCAGTGTACTGCTTGCCTTTGAAACTGCCTGTGATTTAAAGCATGGGGGAGGGGAAGGAAAAAAAAAAAAAAGGTTAGAGAGGGAGGGACCCAAAACATAAGAGACTTAAAAACTGAGAACAAACTGAGGGTTTCATGGGGGATGGGAGGGAGGGGAGGGTGGGTGATGGGTATTGAGGAGGGTACCTGCTGGGATGAGCACTGGGTGTTGTATGGAAACCAATCTGACAATAAATTTCATATTAAAAAAATAATAATAAATAAATAGCTGCTTTAGAATGGATCTCAGTTTGTATTTATCATTGGTCTTAACCAATAACATTTCATCTTTTCTCCTCAAGGCTATGAGTTCTCTCCCTCATTTAAGGTACATAACATTTCAAATAATTCGGTTTATAAATGGAAACAATAACCTGAAAACATTCCTTATTGAAAGAGATGAAACCTTTTTCATGGGTTCCAGCTAGATATTCCTGGGGGTGTACTGCCCCTCTGACATCATACTTAGATCAGAAAACCAGGGGCGCCTGGGTGGCTCGGTCGGTTAAGCGGCCAACTTCGGCTCAGGTCATGATCTCGTGGTCCCTGGGTTCGAGCCCTGCGTCGGGCTCTGTGCTGACAGCTCAGAGCCTGGAGCCTGTTTCAGATTCTATGTCTCCTTCTCTCTCTGCCCCTCCCCTGTTCATGCTCTGTCTCTCTCTGTCTCAGAAATAAATAAATGTTAAAAAAAAAATTAAAAAAAAAAAAAGAAAACCAGATCTCTTCACCATTTGTAGATCTCTTTACCCTTTAATCATGGATGAGGGGAAAAAAGCTCCATTTTGTGAATGAATTCAATATCCCATTTTTCTTTCTTATATTTCTCTTTCCTTTTACTCTTTTCTTTTTTCGTCTTTTTGTCTCCTGACTGCAGAATGAGTTGATTCCTCCAGGAGCCTGCCTCCTGGGCTGTGTGGTGGAACCCCCATGGATGGGCACCACTTGGCACCTGAATGGGTGCTTTATCTCAAACCTTTATCTCAAATTTTTTTCTTTTTCCTCACATATCTTTCTCAGACCTTCCACAGAAAAATTCAGCTCTCTGCATTGTGTGCTTAGGCCACAGCCCAGGGCAGGGTGGTGCAGATCTTTCCACCACCCTGAAAATAAGTGAGTTCAATTTTCATCATGAGATATTTCCATGGCGAGTTCAATCACATCCTGAATCAGGTGTTTGTCACAGGCAATGGTCTCTCTCTTGCTACCCCATTCTGTTCCCCACTCTCCCCATTTCTCACTGTGTCTCATCTCCTTTCCCTTTGGGAACATACTTTTTGTGATTAAGAAAGGAAAACAAATAAGCAGGTCCTCACTGCACAGGGGGAGCCATGCTGTGGTGTCTTGATGTGAGTTCACTTTGCTCTGTGACGTCTGTTCTAAGCTGTATGTGCTTTTGTTAGACTCCTGCATCGCATCTCAGTTTTGAGGACAGTGACCCTAATTGACACAGGCTTTCAATGGCAAGTGATATTTTATACAGAAACTGCATTGAATAGAGAAAGATAGAGCTTTTTGAGGACAGGGAAACACAATAGTCCAAAATGGACTCTGCATCATGTTTATGCTGCTATTGCTTTTTCCACTAAGCAGTTCAGAATTCCAAGTAAAGGAAGGACAGGGAAAATATCAGAAAGGTAAAGCAGGGAATTTGGGAGAATTTCTAGCTGCACAGCTGTAAGATGAAGAGTTAATCATTGTATGGTTTATAGGAAGAAAATAATTATCTTTTATTGTTTTTGAGATTAAAAAAATCCCTTAAGCCTAATTGCAATAATAACTTAATCTGTTGGTCAGTGTTTATTCATTACTCACTCTGTGCTCAGAACTACAACAACTGCCAGGAATGCAGCCATATTGGCCATGATCCCTAACCTAATTATAAGAACGGAGACAAAAACATTAATAAAGTTAGAAAAATCAAAATAATTCTAATTATCCCCAGGAGACTATTGCTGTAGGACTAGAAATTAAATCAGTCATGGGCAGACATATATCAAAACTCAAATCCCATGGCTCAGTGGGCATTTGAGAAGGACAGATTGAGAGGTTCTCACTGAAAACTTTTTTGCAGATGGATAAATTAGATATGGAGAAAGAGTTTGGAGCTCTTTTGAACTTTTCTTTCACCAACTAGTTTTAGGATGGCATAGTTATCATTAAGGAATATGTTGTGTATTTCAGATTTAAGTGATAGGGCAGGTAAAATATAATTTGTGTGATGAATGTTTTAGAAGCTCTTAACTGCATCTGAAATACCTCTTTAGGGTGCCAGGATATCAGATAAAATGCTCACAGGCACCACCTCTGCATTTCCTTGGGTACAAAGATCTGTGGGTGGAGAAGCAAAGGAGGGAGGGCCACCAACAACCTTGAGTGAGGCCACAAAGGCACATCTTTCAGACGGCACTGTTGCCATTGCCCCGTGAAGTCTATAACATAATTTCAACAAAGCAAAGTAAATATAAATAGACCTCAAGGCAAATGAATATGTCACTAGAGGTAGTATAGGGTAGGAAAGATAAACTAGAATTTGGAATTCTGACAGCCCTAGGTTAGAATTTGTTTCATCACTTATGAGCTGCAGTTAGTCTGAGCAAGCTGTTGCTACTCTCTGCTTCCCGTCACTATAAATCCCTCGAAGGCAGAGATTCTGTCTTTAAGACAGTGTTTTTTATGATTATAGATGTAAGTGATATCCATGGTAGAAATATGGAAGAACAAAGTAGAAAATGAAAGTCACCGTTTATGCAAGTCCTATAGCCCTGAACATTTTGTGACACATCTTTCCAGATTTTTTTTGTGGGTACATATTTAATCAAAATTGTTACTTAATGTCTATGTCCTTGTTCTTTTTAGCCCTTGTGCCTGGTATAAAGAGAAGTTTAGTTAAATGACTAAATAGGCTTGAGCTTCTTAGTCTTCAGATCCATCCCAGAAAAAATGAGAATAAAAACAGCAACTATAGTGTTGGAGTTCTGAGGGTTGAATGAGATGCTAGATGTGTAGGGCTCATTCACTGGTATACAACAGACACTCTGTAATTCAAAACTGTTATTGCTATTATTTTGGTTCTCATTGAAAAGAGAGAGATACACTAAATAGTTTGGTTCAGAGGATTTGAAACCATTCATAATGACCTTTCCTTACAGTTTGGAGACAGATAGTACATCTAGTATGAAGTGTTTATAATTCTAGAGCATGGGAATGTGCTATGAAGCCTAATCCAGAAATGGCATTGTATTGGCAAAACCTGTCACTGAAGTCAGGGGTATGAAAGAACAGAGTTGGTTGCAGAGTGTTCTGCTCTGAGCGTGGTGACTTTTATCTTAAGCTGTTTCTTGAATAAGATACAACTTGGCCTCTAATACCAGCAGGTTCTTGACTCAAACTCCGTGGTGTTAAGGATCTCAAGGCTTCTTTCTTTCTTGTAGGTTCCTTCATATAAACCTGTTGTGGACCTGGATTGAGTATAGGAAATGCCTTTAGTGGAGCCATAGGCAAGGATTCTCCAGGTTCCTTGAGCCTCACTCACTGGAGGTACTAGTAGGATTAGAGTTGTAGGTGGGCAGCTACCTTGCAGAATGCTGTAGAGGAAGAAGGATCTCAGAAATCAACCAACCCAGGGGCACCTTGGTGGCTCGGTCGGTTAAGGGTTTGACTCTTGATTTCAGCTCAGGTCATGACCTCATAGTTCGTGGGATTGAGCCCTGTGTCTGGCTCTGTGCAGACAGCACAGAGCCTGCTTAGGATTCTCTGTCTTCCTCTCTCTCTCTCTCTCTCTCTCAATCTGTCTCTCTCTCTGCCCCTTCCCCACTTGTGTGTGCATGCATGCTCTATCTCAAAATAAACTTAAAAAAATTTTTTTAATTAAAAAAAAAAAAAATCAACCACCCTAGTAGCTGTTTTACACACAGTGAACTAAGGCCAGAAGAGATTATGTGAACTTCTCAAGGCCGCACAACAAACTGGTGACACAACCAGACTTAGAACCAAAAGGTTCCTGTGAAGTAGTAAAATGTAGAAGAAAGAACACAGGTTGGAGTCAGGCTGCTTTAGTTTGAATCCTGGTTCTGCCACTTAGAGGTATATTTAGAGGACACTAAATCTCTCTGAACTTCGTTTTCATCTGTAAATCCAGAATGAAATATCTAGTTGTGTTAGTGTCCTATGGCTGCCATAACAAGTTATCATAAACTTGATGCCATAAAACCAAAGAAATGGATTGTCTCACAATTCTGGGAGCCAGAAGTCCAAACCAAGGTGTTTTGGGGGACCATGCTGTCTTTGAAGGCTCTAGGGAAAGATCCTTCCTTGCTTCCTCACAACTTCTGGCGGTTGCTGGCAGTCCTTGGGTTTCCCTGGCATACAGCAGCATCACTGTTGTCTCTGTCTGTATTGTCACATGTTTTTCCTGAAGTGTGTTGGCCTGTTTCTGTGTCTTCACGTGGCCTTTCCATAAGGACGTTAGTCATTGGATTTGGGGTTCACTCTAATCCAGTATGGCCTGATTTTATTTATTTATTTATTTATGTATTTTTTTTTTTTTTTTAAGCACTTGTCAGTATTTAATGAACCTCTCTTCATGTGGCTTCAAGCTACCAGGACACAGACTCCTCCCACACCCTTAATCTTCTCCTCAGCTCTTCTACTGAAGAATTTGGTCTTCCCCATGACAGGCTGTTTGGGGAGTTTCCCTTTCCCAAAACTTTGTCGTAGCCCGATCGCACCACATCGCTGATAGGAGCAGCTCCCGTCTTGTTTTTGGCAGCCTTTTCCTGTGACTGCTCACTGACCAAGGTCCACAGTTTATTGAAGCTGACAGTTGGGCAGAAGCCCTGGTTCCTTTTTATGTGGTAATGCCTCACACCAGCTTTTCTGAAGTAACCTGGCTGGTATTTGTCAAAGTTGACCCTGTGGGGATGCATGCCACCGGCATGACCCCGGCCTCCTGGGTGCTTCCGGTGCTTGCGGACGCAGCCGTGTCCGTGGCTCACGTGGCCCCGAAGTTTCCAGGTCTTCCTCAGTCTGGATGGCCTGTTGGCAGCCCGGAGGAGGGAGCCAGTATGGCCTGATCTTAACTAATTACAGCTGCAAAGACGCTATTTGCAAACAAGGTCACGTTCTGAACTTCTGGGTGGGCAAGAAGTTTTGGAGGGATGCTATTTAACCCAGCACTGTTGCCTGGATGAAATCACGTATTGTCTACGAAGTATCTAGCGTGGTTGCTGGTCCGTGTTAGTTCACATGGTAGGTAGCTCGACAACTGTTGGTTCTCTGCCTTTCTTTCCAACCCCCAGCCCCGTGGCCACTTGGCCGTTGCAGAACTCCGGGCACTGAACTCACTCTGTTTCCACAGTCTGCGTCTCCCTCTTTCTGCAGTTATTCTGGTATGTTCCCAGCCTTCTTCACTGGCCGGTTGTAATTGTTTTGGATACCCGTTCTTTTATTGAGATTCTGCTCATTTGCAGCTTTCCTAGTTCTAGTTTTCAAGGAGCTTTACTGTAAATATAGTTGGATGAAAAACAACAAAGGGCTGCAGAACACAGTTATCGGCAAAGGGACTGCTTTTTATTTAATTAGCAAAAACAAAGAAGTACATCCAGTTTTGACAAGGATACTGTGAAAAAGTAAACTAATAATACCTTTGTTGGGGCTCTTAAAACTGTTACACCTTTTCCAAAAATCAATAAAAATAATATATTTTTGCTTTATTAATCTCAGAACTGGGAATCTGTCCTAAGGTAATAATTCAAAATACAGAAAACACCACAAATATTCATCAAAACATGATTTATGCTAGCAAGACTTAAATTTTTTTTAAGTTTATTTATTTTGAGAGAGAGAGAGAGACAGGGCAAGTAGGGGAGGGGCAGAGAGAGAGAGAGAGAGAGAGAGAGAGAGATTCCAAAGCAGGCTCTGCACTGTCAGCAGGGAGCCCAGTGTGGGTCTTGAACTCATGAGATCATGACCTGAGCTAAAACCCAGAGTTGGGTGCTTAACCAACTGAGCCACCCAGGTGCCCTGATAGTAAGACTTTAGAAACAATGTAAGTGCCCAACAATAAGGATAGTTTAGGTAAACTGTGGTTTGTCCATTTGAGAGAACATTATACAACTATTTATTTTTTAAGTGAGAAAAGATAATTACAAATAGATTCATATGTGATTGTGATAAGTGTATGGGGTAATGTCAAAATGAGTAATTTTTTTCTATGTTATAAATTTTCTATAATTTGAAAATATTTTTGTATAATTTTAAGTAGGACAGCGATAATGTAAGGACATAATCCATACAGTTGGGTGACTTGGTAGATATCCCATTTCATCTTTTGGGTGCTAGAGGCTGTGATGCTTAGAGCACTGCTGTTGGCATCAGGTGGAAGCAAGTGTCATTTCTCAAACAGATTAGGACAAACCAGTGTTGTGGGAGCAGTTGCTAGTCAGGGGATTCCTACCTGCATGACCAGTAAACTGGACTCATGAGTTATGGGGCCAGTGACTCACCCCTGACCATAGACAAGCAGCCCCATGAAGGGCTCAAGTAGATGGATGCTAATATCACTTGCCTCGAGAAAAATCTAAAAAGTCAAAACAAAGATGTGACAACAAAAAAAATTGCAAAGGTTTGTTGGTGTGATTTACATTTTATTTTTGCTTCTGGTGAATACATAATAATCCTCCCCTCCCCCAACAAGTGAGAAAAAAATGAAGAATATTATTGAGATACATAAGTTCGTAGGTTACTTTGGACTGTGAATACAAGTTTAATACGGATGATAAAGCTTTAATAATTTATCTTTTTGATACTGGTAAAGTCAAAGAATTCATAACTCCTTGGCTCAATTGTATTTACTCATGTTATTAGTTATTTCTAGTCATTTATTTGGGAAATATTTATTGATTCTTATCACAGTCTTAGACTTGATTATATCTCATGTTAATTTTCTGAATTTCTGTTTATTAGTTTACTATTATGATAATTTTAAAGTACTTCAAAAATAAGGAAAACATACATCACTAAGTTTCATTTCCATTATATGTTCTCAAAGAAGTGGTTCTCAAATTTAATGGGTGCAAGAATCACCAGTGATGATAGTTAAAAATGCAGTTTTCCGGGCATTAACCTCAGAGGCTAGAGAGGAGTCTGGACGTCTTTGAAAGGAGGAAAGCAGAGGGTGCTGCCGCAGGTGGGCTCCCACTCACGCTTTCCAAAAGTGAAAAGTTAGCCACATGAAACCACATGCCCCCAAATATTTTCCTTTAATATTTGAGGTTGAACATTAATTATCACCGTAAAAAAAAACAACAATAAAGATGAAAAGTGTTAAAACTTGGCATTGTTTTCCAAAACATGAGTTTTCTTTTCCTTTTTTGGAGGTATGTAAGGAAAGCTCCTCACCACGCTGTGAATGATGTCAACTCCTCTGTTCCTAGCACATTTTTGACACGTCACCCTTTTATTTCACAACAAACATGCTGAGGCAATGTTCCTTTTGTTTTAAGAGCTGACGACCGTCAGTTAATTATATCATGTGCTGAAGGAAAATTAATAAGGAATGCATTCAACTACAACTTGCATTTTCAGTATTATTATCACAAATGAGTGCATTTCAGACACTCTAATATTAGAATCTAGATTCTCATAATGCAGTGTCTACTGTGAAAACCACGTGTAATTGTGTTCTTAACACTCATTCATCCAGTGGTGTCTGAGCTATGAGGAAATAATGCTTTTCTCTGTTAATAAGTCACTTTCCAGTATGCGAGGTCTTTCTGTTTCCCTTCCTTGAGAAAGCAGATGGGTGATTTATTTTTAAAAAATCTTACAAGAGAATGGTATAGAAGCCAATTAAGCCTTGCCTTTTTCCAGAGTTGTCTTTACCTGCAGAATTATCTAGCATAATAAAATGAGGGTAGCTTCTAAATTAAAGATTGCTAAGGCAATGTTTCTTAAACTTTGTTTGCATAAGAACAATATACCATATATAATATTTTTATTAATATTCAGATTTATGGGCCTCCATTCCAATTTATTAAATCTCAAATGAGGACTGAGAATTTACATTTTAAAATACATCCCCGTTTGTTAAACACTGATAGACTGCCTTATATACTTTGAGGAATTTCTCCCCTTGGGAATTTTGTAAAATAACTTAGGAGAGGTAATTATGAGTGACCTATGCTTTGAAACTTTTGGAGGAACTTATTTTAAACCTTAATTAAGGGGAGTTTAGCAGCTTAAAAGAAGCATTGAGAAGTTTTCCGAACATGGATTTTATATTTGGATGGCTATTGGGAATAAGTACACCATTGTATTTCTTTTGGAAAACCATGGCCTTTGGCAAGGCCAGAAGTTATTAGGATTTCCAAAACCCTGACAGTGAGAGAACCAAAGGAGTAACAAAGTGTGACAGTGATGGATGGCCCTATGCCAGGCAGTGCTCTAAGCATCTTGTATGTATTAATGAGTTAACCTGACAAGTATCCTACAAAGTAGATATTATTATTTTACTCATCTTGTAAATGGGAAACAGAGGTAGTGAGAAGTGAATTAGCTTGTCCCCTTCTGTAGGTTGTGAGAAACAGATCCCAGGTTGTTCTGAACTTGAGCATTCTGAAGTGGGGTCTGGGCCTCCACTACTGCACTATGCCACTGATGAAGGGCTGGTTCTCTGGGAAACTCATTTACCTTTCAACCAAATAAGGGGCTTTTTATATTAAGATGAGTATCTACAAAGGCAAAGCAATGACCTACATGCCACTTAGAGCTTTTTGATCTACGCTTCCTAAGATTTCTGGAGAAGGCCAACATGAGAGAAAAATAAAAGTAATAGCAAAGGCATTTACTTCAGTATTTGCTTGAACATTTGCTCTCAGAAGTAATAACTATTATCTTTTCAATTATATGAGTAGAGTCTTAGAGTCTTCTCTTTAGAGTCTTAAGAGTCTACAGAAAATTTAGGGATCATTTGGCTCAACAATAAGTATTTCTTCAATGAATGAATGAAAAGTTGGGCCCATTTTGCACATCTACAAGGATGTTCTGCAGGCTGATCAGTGTAACAATTTGCATAAGCATCATTAGAATTATGAGGGGAACTTTAGAGGTCAGTCAAGTCTAGAGGGAAAAAGCAGTGTAGATGTGGTCCCATGTCAACCTCCAGGAAGGGTACATTGGGAGGACTAGAACCCCATGTTCAAGTGGGATGAACTGTGTGCCTGGGCTTCAGCCTGAGAATCTAGAATGAATGCAGGATGGCTACCCAAGTAGGGTAGACTTGCTTTGTACTAATGGTTTCCGTATTAGTTTTCTATTGCTGCTGTAATAAGTTACCACATACTTAGTGGCTTGAAACAACACAGTCTATAATCTTACAACTCTGTGCATTGGAAGTCTGATGCAGACCTCACTGACTAAAATCAAAGTGTCAGCAATGCTGTGTTCCTTTGTGGAGTTCTAGGGGAGAATCTTCTTCTTTGTTTTTCTAGCTTTCCAGGTCCATGTACCTTGGCTTGCAACTCTCTCCATTTTCAAAGCCAGTAATGGCAGGTTGAGTTGTTTTCACATTACATCACTCTGATTTCCTCTTCTGTACCTCTCTTCCACTTTTAGGAACCTTTCGGATTATGTTGGGCCCACTCAGATAATGGAGGGGGATTTTCCTTTTTAAAGGTGAGCTCATTAGCAACTTTAATTCCCCCTGTAACCTTAAATTCCTCTTTGCCATGTAACCCAACATATTCACAGGATCTAGGGAGTAGGGTGTGGACATGAGCATGGATGTTCTGGGGAGATCTTTATTCTGCCTACCACAGCTTCCTAAAGAGTAAGGCAATTAGAGGGAAGGAACATGTTCTAGGATGTAGGGCTCAGTCATCCAAGACTGGATGTCTGACTAAAACAGAAAGCTGCCTGCTCCTGTTCTTGGCAGTTGCAGATTCTGGCAGATGCTGGTAGAGAAACTGTGAGCTGGTTGGCAGAATGAAGATGGAGAGACCATATCATATCTGGAAGGTCTGAAAGAGTCTTATTGGCTGAGAACTTCTCACCTTCTGTGCCCTGACTTCATTAATGGAGTTTGTCCTAATGTTTTTAGAGAAAGAAGGTACTAAGGATTTTTCTCTTAGTAGGAGGACAAGCCAAGTCCTTTACCAGCTCAAGCATAGAAGGGCAGGTAGGAAGGAATACGTGTAGAGTTGGAATCCTAGGTAAAAGAGGTAGAAACATGAGCCAAATATACCTACCTTTCCTCTGTCCCTCCTTCCCCTCACTCTCTCCTTACTTTCTTCCTTCTTTCTTTCTGGTTTTCGAATTTGTGCTGTCAGTGTGTTTGGGGAAGGTATTATGAACATAAACACCGCTATTATCTAAACAGGTTATGTGTCCACAGGGTCAAAATCAGGCTCATTGTAACAAAACGGGACTAATAATAAAAGCAAAATTTCATCCATTTTTTTTTTTTTTGAGAGAGTGAGCGGGAGAGGGGCAGAGGCAGAGGGAGAGAGAGAGAATCTTAAGCAGGCTCTATACCCAGCACTGAGCCCACTGCGGGGTTCAAACTTATGACCACGAGATCATGACCTGAGCCGAAATCAGTAGTTGGATGCTTAACTGACTGAGTCACCCAGGTGCCCCTCATCCGCATTTTTAAACTTTTATTTTATCTTACCAATAAGAGCTAAAGCATTAAGTGAAAAATAGCATGGTTTGCAGAGTGAGGGAGATATTACAGAATCTAGCTTAAAAAAATGATACAGTTGAGTGTTGGAGACCTTTGTTTTTGTAAGTTAAGCTAAGTGGAAGTGGTAGATTTGGACCCAAGAGAGGAATCATGTGACCTCCTAAATGAGAAGAAACCCACAAGTCATTAGTCATCTAGTTGATATTATTTTAATCACACAAAACGCTGCCTGTACATCATTACAGGACTTTCCATTTGTTCTCCAAAGCAGACTAGACCTCTCTTAGGTTGGTTTATGTGCTTACCTAATTCCTGTTGTTTGGGTGACTGCACAGACAGGATGATCGAAACAGTTAGGGACTTGCCTGACACAAAGCCATAAGCTATTGGAACAAGTGCTTTGAACAGAGGCATCATGGGCCCCATGGGGGGAAGAGGAAGCCACAAAGAGCATCAGAACATGAAAATATAGGTCACATCTGCCATCCTAGGCATAGAGTGCACACCTTTCTTGCCACCAAGAGCATGGGCAGGAGGCAGGAAGGATATGCATTAGAAGATACATTATTGTTGACTACAAAGGGTAGAAATTTTTGTGTCTTTGACTTCTTTTTTTTCGCCCAATAGAGGTAGCTCTCTTGTCTCTCTATGGGGACTGGGTGGAGGGGTGCTGGTGGCAGGGAGGCTGACAACAGACTTCCTCTGGAGAACCACTGCTTAGATTTTTCAATAGTTTTTTTTTTTTTTAAGTTTTGAGAGAGCGAGTGCATGTGTGCATGCACAAGCTGGGGAGGGGCAGAGAGAGATGGAGAGAGAAAGAATCCCAAGCAGGCTCCACGTTGTCATCGCAGAGCCCGATGCAGGGCTTGAACTCATGAACCGTAAGATCATGACCTGAGTCGAAATCAAGAGTCAAGTGTTTGACTGACTGAGCCACCCCAGCGCCCCTCAATAGTTTTGAAGTCTCTGTATAAAAACAAAACAAAAACAAAACTTTAGTATGCAAAGCATGGAACCTTTAGCAACTCTCTTGCCAAAATGAGCTTATTTGAGCATAAAGTGGAATATGGCACAATTGGAGGAAAAGTGAGCAGCCACCTGATGAAAATAAACAAATAGCCATTCAACAGCAAGAATGTCTTCTTAAATTCACTTCTTTGTTTATCTCTGTACTTCCAATTTGCCAGGCTCCAGGTGTCTTAAGTATGTTCCAAGAGGAGCTTTACCTAAGGACACTCAGTGTTTACAAAGCAGGGAGATTTTTCTTGAATATTGGCACTCTGTCTTTCCCCCCAGAGTCCCACTTCTGCTATTTGAGTGCTTTTTGCTTAACAGTCATGCAACCTCAGGCTGCCTTGGCTCATGTGCCTTCCAACTCCAACTCTACATTTCCTTCCCTCCTAGGCTGACTTGCCCTTCCTCTGAGTCTTTGATGCTCCCCCAGAGCTCCTCCCTGGTAAATCATCTAAGCTTTGCAGACTCGTGCCTGGATGTAGAGAAGAACTCCAAAATAGACATCCAAAATAGACTCCGATGGGTCACAGGATGGTGATGGCTGTAAGGAGGGGGCTCTGCTGGGCTGCTTTCCATCTTCATGTCTTCCCAGGACCTCTCCACTGAGGAGTTAGACTTCTAACATGGCAGTTCAGCACTTCTAGAGACTGAAGTGAAAACTGCCAGTTCTCTTAGAGTCAGGGCCTGGTGCTCACAGAGTGTCATTCCTGCCACATTCTATTCATCAAGCAGTTGCCAGCCAGCCCAGATTGAAGGGGAAGGGAAAGAGACCCCATCTCTTGAACGAAAGAGTATCAAAGAATTTCTGGCCCTTCTTAATCTGCCATAGGCTGCTTCTAGTTTGGTTTTTAACTTTATTAATTCCAGTTGAGTACAACCAGTCCTAGTTGTACCCCTAGTCCTCCTAACACATGATCTTTTTTCAGCTGTCTTTTAAGCTCTTATCTACAAGCTCTAAAACTGTCAGTTGTCTAGGCAAGGAGAAGACCATCTCACCAGCCAGGTGATGCAGAGCTATGAGGGATTGGTTGATGTACACTGAATGTTCTTAGGAAAGTGATTCAGTCCCAAAATAGTTCACCCACCTCCTAAAATACTTACGATAAGAGCTAGAATGTCTGCAGGCTCAGTATGGACTCCAGCTGCTTGGGAGTGAAGTCCTAAGCTGTACTCCTATATACTTAATGATATCTTACATAATATAGTTTAGAAGATATGCTAGTTTCTTCCTTCCTCTCCCACCTATCTTTCTTTCTTTCTTTCTTTCTTTCTTTCTTTCTTTCTTTCTTTCCTTCTTTTGTTCTTCGTTCTTTCATTCTTTTCCCTCTCTCCCTCCCTCCATTCCTTTCTTCCTCCCCCTCCCCACCCCTCAATTCACTGGAAAGAAAAAATCAGTGCTGCCTCTCACTGATAGAAATCAGTAGCAAGCCAAGATAATGTCAGTTCAGAGCCTGGTTTTTCTCCTCTCTGCCATCTTCCATCTGTGCACCGTATTGCTAGGGTGCTGCTCCTTTTTGCTCTAAAGAAATAAGGTCTGGTTCTCTAAAGATGACTTTGTTTAGGCTAATTCTCTGACTCAAAGATTAGAAATCAGAGGGATGTAACCATTCAAAATGATGTCTTCTGTATATGACTGTATATGGGGGTGAACAATGTCAGTAAGGGAGGATTTGCTTGGCTTGCACTATAGAGTTTTTGAGAGAAAATCCTGTTGCTTATAACATGCAAAAATGCATATGATAAACATGCAAGGTATAAATATTTACATACATCAAAATTTTATGGAGATGGAAGGTATTTCAAACAGTTCTATTTCTCTATGACAGCAATCCATCTGCTGTATGTTTTTGACCTGTGAGATCAGCAAGGTTATAGCCTTTTGTGGGTTCACTTGCTGAAGGAGAATTCCCTCTGCCCTGGGTCTGCGGTGCTACCTGTTCATTCTTTTTCTGGAAGCTCTAGGCAACCCCCCCACCCCTGTGCCCCACCCCCAGAGCAGTTGCTTTCTCTATGTGCCATGTGAGATATTTGTTTTCCCCTTTGGTAGCTGATGGCTGGGAGTTTCTTTGCACATTTCCTCTGGTGGTAGGACTCTTAGCAAACCGAGTGCTGTGGTTTGCACCGAGAACCTGAGCATGTTGCCGCTGTGCACCACAGGCACTAGCAACTTCCTTCTTCCTTAAAAAGTCACATAAGGTTGTGGGGCTTGATGGTACATTTTCTGTGGGCAATGACAAACCCTTGAAGTTTTCACACAGAGAACAGAAAGGGCTTCTCTTGGTGATAAAACTAGAATCATACACATCTTTTCCTTTTCTCTGCGGCACAGATCTGGAAGACAGGGAACACTTCATGACAAGCCATAACTCGAAATTAAGGAAACTGGTCGTGGTTCTGGTCTTTGTCATTGTTGGTGTTGTGTGTGTGTGTGTGTGTGTGTGTGTGTGTGTGTGTATTTTGAGAGTCTTGAACCTTCGTTTGAGGCTGTACTTTTTGTGGCTTGTCTGGGCTCAGAGTAATTCATGTCCTAGTGACGAGTCCTTCTATTGGCTGAAAGTGAAGCCTGTTCCATTATTATCAGATATTATAGAGATAGTGCAAACCTTAGAAAAATACTTTGTAGTATAATGGAAATTTAAATATCTGTGAAGTTATAGCCATGAAAATTATCTGTGGTAAGACCTTGCCAGGAGGATTGTTCTGGTGTTTGTTGTGAAGCAGTTTTCTATGAAACACTTTCTTTCCTTTGTTTCCCTAGGGCAGAATTGATAATTGTAGGTTACCTTCTTGACATTTCTTTTTTATAGTCCTTAAGCTCCTTTTCTCTCAAAAGTATTAGAGTTCCTGCCACCGGTGGGTTCTCCTCACTAACTCACTATCACTATCCTTCAGTGTAGAGACTCTGGAAATCCCCTCTGACATCCTTTCTTGCCAATTTCGTCTCTGGTTGCCCGCCCACAGTATTTTTTCCCCTAATCTGGTCAGTCATCTGTGACTTATTTTAGCACATGCAGCACTTCAGAGTTTGACATAGTAGCGTGCTGCACAGATTTGAAGAGAAGCTTTCCAGTGGCACACTGACCATAAGTTGACTCAAAGAATAATAGTTAAAGCTCTTTGGATGTGGGAAGAAGGCTCTGGAGAGCAAGAATTTCTCCCCTGGGGTGTATGTGGTTTTGGGGCTAATCAGAAGCATGTTCGCATCATAAGGAGTTCTTTGCAAACTTCTGGTTCTTCAAGGTTCATTGACAAGGTGGTTTTAAGAGCTCAGTCCTCAAAGACATCTGTAAAACTTTTGAGTTACAGCCTCACCCTCTACTGTTCGAAACATTTTTGGAATTTTAGTATGCATATATTCATTCTAATATTAATAGGAAAATATATTTGATCCTTGGTTCTTATTTTGAAGTTAAGAGGAAGAAAAACACCAATGAATATTTTTTGAGCACATGCTAATGACAGGCCAGACACAGGTATTTTATTCAGCCCATACTGGTGTCAATGAAAGCAGAAACCAGATAGTCCCTGAGATTGTCAAAACCCAGTGGAGGAGACTGGCTGAGCAAGCAATTAACAGCAAGCTTGGGTCAAGGAATGGAAGAGACCTAACAGTTGAAGGCTGGTTGCTGGCAACATCCCTTGTGCCCCGAATCCAAATTAGTGTTTTTCTCCTGTTTCTATTCATCACTTTATATTTTGGTGCTTCTTTATCTCTCTCCTGAGCCAGATTTCCTTTGTCCATGACTATCCCACTCCCCAACCCTTCCCACCTTTTTTTCAGGATCCTGATGTCTGTATCTGTCTTTCTTCAGGTAGCCTGATTATATTCTTGATTGTTCTTTTTTATTTTTGGAATTTGCACTTGTGAGGTCTCAACATTGGATTAGATTGAGTGTTCAGAGGGAAATATGCCCTTGATTCTCTTTGGTTTCTTGTGGTCTCTACTCACCATCCCAAACCACCACCTCTGTATTAAATTTGGGTTGCAGTCATTCAAGAGCTGTGCTGTCCGCTGGTGGCCATGAATGTAAGCTTTATTTTAAATTTAAAGAAATGTTGAAAATAAACATTTTTTTTTGCAAATTACATCAAACACTTAAAACATTTGGGAATGTTAACATTAACTCTTAATTCAAAATAATTCCATTTATAGAACACATCCTGGTGTTGGCCAATAGAAGTGTACTTAAATCTGATATTTTATATATGCCTGACCATGGATCCTTCCTAAAATTCAGTGACCATAAGGATTCAACTTTATAAGGTTAAGCAAGTCTTCCAAGTAATATCCCAGATAACTTTTTCAAATATAAAATATTTAAACCAACAAGGAAATTATAAAAACATATATAAGTTATACTTTAGGGCTTAATTAAAGGGCTATCTGAATACAGATACCAGACAGCTTTGCT